TAGTAAACTCAAAATACTACTAGAGTGATACCAGATATAGTTAAAACCATGAGTTAAGATTCCAGTTATCTAATAAAAGCATTCTATCGCATCCAATACAAAGGTAAATGGAGAGCCTTGAAAGTGAGATTAATTTAGGATATATTATCATAAAAGAATTCCATACAGTGCATAATGGGCTTACTTCATTTGGCGCATGGCTCAAGCTCACATGCTGCACTGTCACTGTTCTACCCCCGCTGAGGATGGTGATAAGTTCTATGCGAGGTCAAAACTGCAGTCCAGTCCAGATGAGAACAATTTTCGGGAAGTCAAGGCTCTGTGAAAATCCATGGAAACGTCAGCTCTACTCATATCCTTGTGGGAAAATTCTACTACCAGTCCTTCATCACCTTAAACGAAATAGGGTGAATACCTCTCACATTATATTTCATTTCGAGTTTCGACCATGTGTTCGGCCATTTCTTACCGTTGGACCCAACTTCCTTTACAAGCATTTTTGTTTTCCCATAGTTTTTGTCGAATAGGCCGGCATGTGCCACCAACATAAAGTCAATCGCACGAGCAAACAATCTTCTAACAGCCGGATCTCGATCATGGTTCATATTTCTCTCTAAAAGAAAAGCATAACAGAAGAAAATGTGAGGGTTTCTTTAAACATTGTTTTTATCCCCCACTTTCTCATTAATTGGCCTATTTTCTTAGAAAGAAGACAGCGGCAAAATGAGGACATAAAAAAGGTCTCAGCTTGTCTATCCTTGACTAAATAGCCTCCACCTCAAACTTCCTTCCTCAGTAAAAAAAACATTATTCTCACTTAGCCCCGAAGGATAATTATTTTCCAGGAATAAATTAGTCATCCGTTCCAACTCTTTAGTAAAATGATTGCAATTTCAAAATTCCAACCCTGGTTTTGTAACTATGTTTGGAAATAAAATTAGGCACATTGCCAATATATGTTGGCTTCCTTCATTTAATAAAGCTAATATATTTGTCCTCTGATGTTTATACTATGACTTCTTGAATATATTATTCTATCCTTTATTAGTCATGCCTCTTGTACTCCACTACTTTTTGCATATTTACAAGTACTTAGGAGAAAACTTTACTCTTCATTTTATATTTCTATTTTGCTTATATTAATAATAGATATAGCACTTTGAATTTTCAGAAGATATTGTTTAAATATTAGTAAATGTATGCTATTTCTTCATCTCTAAAATTATTTTTAGAAGTTTGGACCATATTGATACATGTATGAGACGAAATTGAATAGGCAAAAATAGATCAAAAATAGATCGAAACCCAGCTTTTCTTCATAGATAAAAACTTGTTTTTTTAAAAATGTAACATAGTTATTTCCATTTACAATCAATGAAATGTGTTACTGCGCTTCTTTGATCCCTAATATACTGCCTATTATCACTGAGATCTCAATGCTTTTCTCTATTCATGAGTTTATCTGGTAGACTTTTAGTAATAAGTTGCTCAAATTTCTCCAAGCGCGCTGATTACTAAACCATTTTCATTTTATGATTCGCACTTACTATCCTTTTTAGTCATTTTTTTCCTTTCTTCTGGTTATTACCTTTTATTTTTATACAATCACTTGTTTTCAACAATATTTTTTTTCAAAACTTTCAGTTCTTATGCAAACGAAAAGTTCATTTACTTTTTCTAATGCAATTATTAGGGCGATAAAATTGAAATATGACCTGATTTGGCTTAAGGTATCAAAACTTTGCATCTATCCTTCTCAATTGTAACAAGCTTTGAGATTTACCCCATAGGCATTCATAAATCCATTTCACGCCGTCTCACTACTTCCTTATTGACGCATTTTGGTCTACCCTATTATGTCATTTTCAACTTTTCTGGTTACTTCTTAGACTATTTACATCGATCTCAAACGGGTTGGTCACATAAGCTTGATATATTTATGTGCATAACTATTTAATTTTCACAAGAATTATAATGAAGATTGTATTTTATCGAAATACATTTAATTTAATTTTTTTTCCTTGTAACTTTCGGAGAATTTGAATATTTTCATTCTTTCCTATCAACGCTCTACTCCCTTCATATGCCTTTGCACGTATTGCCACATAACTTTCAACACACCACTATAATCATCACATTTAACTTAAAAAATTCATTATACCGGACTACATCCCCTGTCTCACTCAACCTTCCGGTCGATCTCATTTACGTCGTCATCTCTGGACTCTCGTCTTTTTGATCAGCTATGTCGTTATCCCGCTATCGCAAGGCCCCACACTCACTCAGCCCCGAACAGGCAGCAGCCGCATCGCAGTACTGGACGGCTGCACGTAGACTCGCTGCCTACCCTGCAGGTCGCCTTCCCGACGTCAACAGCCTACCAGTTATTGACCGATATGATTGGCCAGCCCCTCCTTCGCCTGCTGTCGTCATGATCGACAAACGTATGTTGACCGAATACCCTCGTTATAGAAGTTCCAGATCTGCTTCATAGCGATTTTTCTATATAATCATTCATATTTTTTTAATTATAAGAATATTAAAGTAAAAACATGTTTATAATGGTATCATCCATATTTGATGAAATGCGAGATGTCAATCGGATGAAAGTCAAAAATTCAATTTCAAAGGATATCACTATGAATACAGCTTTTAACCATGGATGCTCAACGTTTATCGGGCTGAATGGAAAAAATATTATTTGCTATTTTCAAAGTGTTTTTTATTAATACATAATTACTTAATGCTATGGAAGCTTCAAAAATGTCTCCCTATTTCTGCTTTACATCCTGTAGTGTAATCCAGCTAAAACGTTAATCCTATAGTATCCTATTACTCGAACAAATAAGTGTATCGCTTTCTTGAACTTATGGATTCTTACTTAATAAATCAGGTATTTATGCCATCTGGGAAACACAATGTTAGTTAAAGACAAAGCAAGCATTCAAATTCATTAAAGCCTCATCTTTGGAGCATGTTTTTAGTAGCCTTTCTAAAAAAAACTTAAATCGAAAGTAGGCCATCTCCTCAAGCAAAACTATTATCTTACATAACGAATGCACATGAGCGCAATACATATTCACAATATGTCGATGATAAAGACTAACCTCAGTTACGGCATTTTTTTCTCAATCATATTCAGGTTTTAATTTATATATTTCGTTGGTAATTTCTTTTCTATTGCTGCATGATGATATTGTAGTGTTAGTAGGAAGGCAACATTTATAGTTACTTAATTATCCATCCTGGAGTAGTAACGGAAGTAACAGTTTGCGAGGATTGACTCCAATTGAAGAGTAGATATACAATAACGGAAGAAGGAATCAAAGAATCCAATCATCAAAGTAGCTCTTGATTGGGTTTCTATCCGCGATTCATGTACATTCCAAATTCTGCTGCTTAACTAACCACGCATTTACAAGCTTGGTTTCAGATAAGCTATTTGGCGCCATACTTCAGACAAAGCAAACAATGCTCGCCCAAAATGGGAATTCTGGTAAATTGGATGCAAGTTCTTATGCTTATGAAGCCACCAGTTCGCTATGCATAGTTATATTTAGAAGCACGATCTCTAGTTAGTGGAGATAATTTATAGACAATCCATCCAAGTTATTTTGCTAAGTAGAATCATATTTCTTTATTGGAAGTAATTATCTTTGTAGCTTTAGTCCTGTGATAATCTTAGCTTCATGAGTATCCTAAAATTATCTTTGGGGCTCTATAATCACCCAGGTAGTACTTTCGTTAATGCCAGAGTACAATTTATCATATAGTAAAATTATACTTGGATAAGTAGGCATATCAGTTCATCAGTAACCTTTGTTGAACTTACATCTTTTATGATCAAAGCAGGTTTGACCATATATAAAACGTACGAATAAAAAGGTGTGTTGTAAGTTTCCACCTGACCATTCAGAGTATATATGCTATTCGTTGTTCAATATTTTCTAATGTTGGTATAGACCTTTATCAATAGTATTAATAATTAGCTGTTAAATTTAAGAATATTACCGTACTTCGAACCCGCTTAAAGAAAATATCGTTTTTATTTTGTACTCAGATGCCTTCTTTTCTTTCTCGATTTCCTATTATACTATATGCTATATCCATTAATCCTTTGTTTTTATATTTTCTGATATGCTTTATCTTTTAGCATGCTGATCACTACCCTTTCTTTGTTTCGTAAAAGGCTAGACCTATTGACAACATGATTCTTTATGAAATACTAGTTTAAATAATCGAGTCCCACACGATAGAAGAGAGCGAGAGACATTTTATGCTTGCTTTATTTAAGACCTTAACGATAAGTATAGTGAGAGATCCTTTTTTGTTTAATGTGTATCTCGTTTGACCATTATATTTTGAGACTTTAATGGCACGAACTTTAATATCATAATTTTAATAGAAAGTTATAAACGAACTGCAATAAAAATTTGAAGTTTCAACATTTAGCCCATAAAATTTCTACTCAATACATATTTTTCATTTGCGATGAAATACTATTTCAATTTGGCAAAATGGGTTAGACATTTTTTGTAGATCTTCTGTTAATTAAAGGAAACCACTTGTAGTTGCAAGATTTTATGCTTTGTCATCCACTAAATCACTTTTTTCATTACCTATTATTTTTCATCTTTTTCATATCTCTTCTTGATATCGCAAGGCGTTAGTAATTTGTATATCCATAATCTGATGCGTGCTGATTCGGTAATTTACCCTTCTTAGAGTATCAACTATTTGTCCCCTGTTGTGTGTAGATGAGGTTGAGAGCCTATTTACTTCTACTAAAATTAAATGTGTGCTTCAATTTCTTTCTCTTTGAATTGCTCTAATAAAGTCCATTATTACGTTCTCTATGCATTTGTTGGACGCCTGGCAATAGCATCAGTAATTTATATCTCCTAATATAGTTTGATTAATATCTTCCCTTTTAATGCTCACAATACTTCATTTGTGGGTATATCTGTGAAAATAGAGAACTTAACTCAATGTTTATGAATTTCTAGTCATCAATACGGTGTAGCCTGGTCATGCTTTTAACTTAGCCGAAAGTTATGCATATATGTATAATCTTAGTAGTATCATTCTGGTTAATATTGAGAAATGTAGCTATTTGAGCAGCCTTCACTCATTAAAAAATTTGTTTAATTATATAATGTACTTTCATTTTTTAATATTTTAAAGATTCATCATATTTTTTTTGTATTGAATACAACTTTAT